AAAATGTATAATGTAATTTTATATATATAATGTATAATGTATAATGTATAATGTATAATGTATAATGTATAATGTATAATGTAATTTTATATATATATATATATATATATATATATATATTATATCAAAAATCGTATGTAAATAAGGAAATGCAAATATATATTTACAGCTATCGAATCAAAAATTCACTCGATAAATACATATTATGGAATTCTATCCAAGAAGATGAGACGATTATTCAAAACATACGCGGCGCTGTGAATATACATCGTAGAGCCTTCAAGTCGGTATTTCAATAATGCATTTTCAATCTGTAATATTTGCGAAAAATGAAGATATTTGTGTTGATTTCTTATGTTTTTTCACGATTATATTCGATTATCCAATATTTTCTCATATTTATTATTATCTTTTATTATTAAAGATGCTGTGAATTTATCGTAATCACTTTTACATCAACATTTTTCTTATTAATCGTTGTCATCGTTGCATCTTTAAGTTTAAACTTTTTTCGAGTGAGTTATATTCTTCTTGAATTTGTATATCTTTTTAATTATTAATATATAATAAATACACGTTATAATTCTTTTCAATAAATAAGCGAGTTATACAAACATTCTTATATACATATATTTATATACACACACATATATATATATATATATATATATATGTTTTACATACATATATTATGACGCTGAAAATTTACATTATTTTAGCTGCTCAATGCATTAATTTTGCTGGATGACATAAGAGAATTGTTTACATCAATATTATTCATTACTTTGCTTTTTGCATTTATGTTTGTGATTAATCACTGCGGGCAGCAAATCACGGATCATAATAGCGAAGTTTTTGAGAAAACGTGAGTATTTATTACAAATAATATAACTGTTTTCTCATTATCTTCAATTGAAAATCTGATATTTACGAAATAAGTTTGAACAAAAGTTTGATGATTCATATGCAAGTTTAGAATAATTTTTTGTTATTTACAGATATAATATACAGTGGTATATGGTTCCAATAAAGATCCAAAAATTATTATTATTTATAATGCAGAACACCACAAAGCTATATATTGTAAATATCGGTCGCTTAATTATCGTTTCAATAGAAGGTTTTACTAAGGTAAAAGTAAAATAAGATATATGAAAAGATACATGAAAAAATTATGGAATCTTAAGAACAAAAAATATTTAACAAAATATTTGTATTACAGCTCATGAGCATGTCAGTATCTTATTTCACAGTAATCTATTCTTTAGTGTAATATTTAAGATGAATGAATTCATCAGATTATATTAGAGAAGTGTTTAATTGTGTTAATTAGCATTAGTATATTTAGCATTAGTATAATATTTAGCATTAGTATAGTAATATATTTAGCATTAGTATGGATAAAAAATATCGTAAATTCATCCTTTGTATTAAAAGTATTAACAAAAATATATATCATATACCACACAATAAGATTCTATATATACAATTATACAATATATGTATTTACTATACAATATATGTATTTATTTATATTATTATATATTTTCACAAGTAACCTGAAAAATGCAATATAGAAGAATTTTAAAGAATAGAAATATTTATATGACCATCCGTAGACAATATTTGTAAAAAAAAAGATAAAAGGAAAAAAATACGGTTCGATTGCACTATATTGTAGATTAAGTGGAATTTTTTTATTAATAAAATATGATTTGGCTATTTCTTTTAAATTATAATACACTCTCTAAGTATTTTATAAAATTCGATTATTAATATATTTTTTAATTATCTTTTTGTTTATCCCATCTCTAAGATTGTATTTCTTGAGCCTCTAAATTTTTATGATTATAAGTCGAAATAATTTCTAACTATAATTATTATATGACTAACTATAATTAATTGTTTTCGCGAGTGAATATAAGTGTATGAGAAGGAAGCAAAGAATGAATAAGAGAGGAAAAGGAAGTCTGAAAAAGAATGGACGAACGTATGCAATAATACCTACGGTAAATAATTTATAAATAACTTATTATCTGCATATTATTTTCAAGTTAAACATATTGCTTAAATATATATTCGTTCTTTTTTCATTTTTTAGATAATTAGAATAAATAATTTAGAATAAATTATTATAAGTGAAACGCACATTACATATTACAGGATCCAATTATATTTTAGATTTTATTTCGAAATATTTAAAATAATTATATTGCAATATCTATAATAAAATATTTCATATAAATTACTATTTATATAAAATATTTTATAGATATTTCAATGTAACATAACATATTTTATATAAATTATAAATACAACATATTTTATATAAATTACCTTACATATTTCCATAAAAATTTTTTTCAGTAATTATGCAATTTACAGTATCAAATTCCTGCATAAAGAACAAATAAATAAATTGAATACACATAATAGTTATTTATATGAAATCAATTATTTTGGTTACTTTGCTTTACAGAATAAATCTCTGTATTAATTGATTGTATTTGCATTCAATTTATGCTTTGCGTTTGTAAACGAGAAGTCTTCGAGACTATAATGTTATACTAGTTATTTCTAAAAAAGATTTTTTAATCATTTATCCAACAATAAAAATATATGAATAAACACTGAGAAAGAAGTTATTAATAAAATGCGCTTACCGCATGTATAACGTAAAAATTAAGGATACAGTGAAAAATTAAGGATACGTGATAGTAATTTGCATTATGCATATATTACATTTGATGTATCTCAAGATAGTCTATAACAAAAATACACTTTTTTTTACAAATATTATTTCATAAATATGTTTAAAAAATATTTTAAAAATTAATATTTGTACATAGTTAAATATAACTTTTGATATACGTAATCTATTTTTCATCTCATACATCTTTCGATTTTAGAAGTATGTTATTGCTCAATAATTAATACTTTATTAATTTTATATTTAATATTCGCGAGATTTGTCTTTTATGAAGACTTCTCGTATAATTGTAATCTAAATAAGATTAAAAAAATATCTTTTAAATATTTATTATTGAGAGAAGATAATATTAATGATTATTTTTCATAACAGGAAAGAACTTTTAAAACGGACTTCTTCTCCCAAAGAAAATTATTGTACTTATTTAAATTTATTATTGTTATTTATCTTATTTATCTTTGATAAGATGAATATCTTCGATTTTTATGTTATCTTTATATAACAAACTTTACTTACATGAATATAATATACGCTTCAAAACTATTTTGTATTCTATGAAATTATCTTTTAATAATCAAACTTTTCCGTAGTATGATACACACAACCACCAAAAACATTCACTTGAGAGAGCAATAACGCGCTACACGACATCACAGATAATAATAAAATTATCGCTGTCTGAATATCTACGCGAATCGCGCCTGCGCCAAGGTGAGAAAAAAAGAGGGATATTATTTCTCCTTTTCGTGGGAAAATTACATCTGGTGAATGTAATATGCTATTTCAATAATTCAACTTTGTCTTTCTCTTGCAAAAAACACAAATAAAAACGATTAATTGATTTCTCCAACTCGGAAGCTAAATATTTTCTTAAACGTTCTAGAAAAATATTGCCTTAAAAAGCATCAAGCACGAGAGAGTTAAACCATTTTGCTAGAAAACATACTACACAATACTTCAATATAATTTTATTTTATTTCCGATATGTCTTCAAATCATTGTGAGACAGACTTTGCCGAGAATCATTATTATAGAATAAATCAAATATTTCTCTCGTTGCTCGACTTGTGGCCATATGGACGTTCAAAATTCGCGAAAATTAAAAATGTTCTGTATTTAACAATAATGCTGTCTTTTTTATTTGTTCAGGTATTAACATTCTTTGCTAAATATTATATATACTACATAAACACATTGAGTCTTCTTATTCATTTTCGTTAATCGTCATCAGCTAATATAAAATTGAAATATTATTAAACATTAATTTATTGTTAATTTGTTATTCTACTCTCGAATTATTGCTTCAATTATTTAATTTTACGAAATTTATATTAAAAATAAAGACACTGATTTATATTAACATTCTTACTTTTGACAAATACTTATAGCAATTGTAAAAGAATTTAAAACTAATTGCTAATTGATTGTATTCTTATAGATATTATAAATATATTTCAAAAATTTTTATACATTTACATTATTAATATAAAATATATTATAATATATATTTGTAATAGAATAAAATAATCAATAGTAAAAATTTAATACTGGTAACTAATATCATGCAAATTGTTTTTTATATTAATTACTATTCTGTTTATGGTTCTGTTTATGTTTTTTATATGGTTTTAGTTCATATTAATATATATTTGCAATTATAAAAATGCAATATTAATGCATTTATAAAAATGCATTAATATTTTTAAATTTTATTAGCAATTTTTTTCAATTTTGGTATATTTGTTTATTCTTGTATTTTTATTTACAATTCATATTTTATTTGCTACATATTAATTATTGTAATTAAATCAATTATTGTATTGTATCTTTAAAAGATATTAATTATTGTAATATCACATCGGTATTCCCATTTTTTAATATCAATTTCCTCCTAACTAGCAATAGTAAGTTTAAGATTAAATTAATAAATTCTCATTTAATTAGGCTACATATTTAAATTTGATTTCTTCTGGTGGGGAGATTTAAATATCAAAAGCTTCTTATGAATGTTTCGTTAGATTATAATAGATTCGTTTTGCAAAATGTAACTAATGATTCTTTAATAACAATGTTAATAACAATGTTAAATTAAAAACAATAACATTTGTTTAAATAACAAATTTATTAATAATAACAACATATTTATTCATTTATATCGTAAATATATTTATAAATATAATATTACATAAATTTATTAATAATTTCATAGTATTTTACTTTACATTTGTATGTTTACAAAGGCGTACGAAATTATATGTCGAAATTATTGTTTTTATACATTGTTTTCAGATGACATCATTTTTAACAATTCAATTAACTATGAATTCTATTGTTATGATCCTCTCGTATGCTGTACCATCAATCACATTTATCGTACAATACTATTCGTTTTATGCTAAATCCTACGCGGTAAGTAAGTTAACTCCTCTTTATCCTGTCACTACGTCTCACTTAACGTTCAGAGATTACCTGAAATAATCCGACACAGGTGAAACGAATGTGGAAAAATATTCGTGATAGTTGGAATCTTTTGAAAGACGAAGCAGAGCGGGATATAATGCGACAGTATTCATCCCATGGTGAATTACACACGATATTAATAACATGTATGCAAATTATTTAAAAATAATAAGTGAATGATCAAAATTGTGTGATTTTCTCGCACAAATTTCTTTCGAATATATTATAAGCAGCTGGCTTGGAAAATACAATCTCAAAGACCTGCGAATCTCAAAATACAATCATATCTTACATTTTCCTCGAATCGAATATTGTTTTAGCTATTTACTTTGTTTTCGAAATCTATTCTAGATTTATTGTAAATAGTTTATACAGTAAAGAATTGCATTTTGCATTAGAAATAATTTGATCACTAATATAAATGAATATAAATTAATATAAATTAATAATAATATTAATATTCGATTAAAAAGAATTTTCATCTCAACTTAAAATTCTAGTGAGTGTCATCGGAACTCTTCTTCTATATGCATTCTTTGAATTTATGCCAACCATTTTGGACGTAATTTTTCCGTTGAATGAAACTCGTGCACACGAGTTACATGCTTTGACAGAATATTTCGTCGATGAGGAAAAATATTTTTATATAATTTTATGTCATTGGTTGATAGGAACATATTTTGAAGGTTTTGTCTGTATAGCCACATATACTTTACAGCTTGCATACATCCATCATATTTGTGGATTATTAAAAATTGCCAGGTAAGGTTTAGAATTTTTATAATATTGAACAAATAATTAATATTATAAGGCCGAAATAAAAAAATAAATAAAGCAATAATATTTTACATTAACTTTGGAATTCGAATGTTGTACGTATATTAAGAAACTTATATAAAAAAGAATTTTCAAATAATTTTTTAATTGTAAACATTTGTACGTATTTTATTATAATATAAAGAACCTAATGTTATTAATTTCAAACATTACATTTTCCACTGTGTTTTAATTAATATAAAACGAAAGTGTATAATATAATTTGATATATGTATATATTACATCAAAATTTGAATAAGAAAGATTAAATGTATGTTTACAGCTATCGAATTGAACATTCACTCGACACATACATATTGTACAATTCTATCCAAGAAGATCACACAGCTATTCAGAACATATGTGCTGCTGTGAATATACATCGAAGAGCCCTCGAGTCGGTATTTATACATTGTTATTTTTTCAATCTGTTTGTAAAAATAAAGATATTTGTATTAATTTCTATATCCACAATTACGTCCGATTACACTATATTTTCTCTCATTGTTATATTTTATTATTGAAGATGCAGCGAATTTTTCATGGTCACATTTGCCCCAACATTTTTCATAATAATCGTAATCAGCGTTGCATCTTTAAGCTTTAACTTGTTCCGAGTAAGTTATTCTCCTTAAATCTCTACAGCTCATAATTCTTATCAATAATAAACAATACAAGTTAATACGTAAATTTTTATCAATAAATAAACACCAATTGTACAGATATTCTTATATACAATATATATTCATGCTACCGGAAAATGAATTTTACATTATTTTAGCTTCTCGAGGCGCTAATTTTGTTAGAGAACGTAAACGAATTGATTATGTCAATATTATTTGTTGGTTTTCATTTTCTACTCATATTTCTGGGTAATTATTACGGGCAAATAATTACGGATCATAACAACGAAGTTTTTGACAAAACGTGAGTATCTATTGTAAGCAATATCATTTGTTCTCTTGTTGTAGTCAATTGAAAACCTGACATTCATGAGAAGTTTGAGTAGTTCAAAGACACATGTGCGACTTTAGGATAATTTTTCATTAACAGATATAATATTCGATGGTATATGGTTTCAGTAAAGATTCAAAAATTATTATTATTTATAATGCAGAACACTACAAAACTGTATGTTTTAAATATCGGTCACTTAATTATTATTTCTACAGAAGGTTTTACTAAGGTAAAGATAAAATATTATATGTATACATGAATAAAATTATGGATTCTTATTAACAGAAAGTGTTTACCAAAGTGTCAATGTTGTATTACAGCTTGCAAGCTTGTCAACATCTTATTTCACACTAATCTATGCTTTAGTATGAAAATTAAAATGAATAAATTTATCGCACAATCAAAATTAACAATCTATACTTTAGAAAGATATTAATTGTTGTAATATGTTGCTGTCTTGTCTTATTTTACTGTAATTTATATCATAACGGTGAAAACGATTGATGAAATTTGCGAGAAAAATTAATGATAATATAAATATCTAAATAATAACTTTTATTATTAATCATTATATTATAATCATGAAAAATAAATAAGATTTATTATAATAATGGCATTCCTTAATCCTGTTTCTTCCATGAGCGCACTAAAAGGTTTTTACAATTGAACTAAATATTTAAATTATTGCGTATTTATTATAATATTGAAAACCTCTCTCTCTCTCTCTCTCTCTCTCTCTCTCTCTCTCTCTCTCTCTCTCTCTCTCTCTCTTTCTCTCTCTCTCTCTAGAATAACGAAGGAAAATAAAAAGTAGGTATATATAGCTATACAAAAATATAAACAATATATACAACAAAAAATTTATTATCCTTTGTATTAAGAAGACTAATAAAAATATATTTTATGTCACAATGTTCAGCTTCTATGATTTCATAAGTAATCTGATATAGAAAGCGTAATTAGTAACACAAATTCTTACGATATGGGAGAATTTTAGAATGTAAATATTATTTTTAAAAAAAAAGATTATATTTCTTCGTCGCTTATTTATCAATATATAATATTTTATTTCACAATAAATCTTGTTTTTATTTAATATTCAGAGGATTTTTGACAAAAATTCTTTTATATCTAACTAAACTTTAATATATGATGTCTCTTATTTAGAGTCTTTTATTATTTTTACGCTCTAACAACTTGCGCCACGGTCTCTTAGCCTTTTTAACTTATTTTAGATTTTATAAAACAAATTCTCCTATTAGATATCGGATGTCATATATCAGAAATCGAACGCAATGTGATTAAATCATCTTCTTCATATTTATTAGTCAACGCTAATCCTATAGAAGGATCTATACATATACATATATTCTGGCCATCAGCAGGTAATATACTATCACTGTGGTATATATTAGTATCAATTAATAGAATTTCTCAATTTAATAGAGTGGAAAATTTAATGCCTTAATAGTGAAGATCTAACAGCCCTAACAGCTCGAACATCTCTAACAGCCCTACTTACTGGCTTACGCCAGAAACTCGCGATAAAAAATTTGAGGGATCCTAATTATTCGCTATAATGAAGAATTTAAGGAACTTTAACCAGGAATTTGCGATAAATTTAGGGAGTCCTAGCCACGCAACATATCTTCTGATTCTATTTATTTTGATTTCGTTTTTACGAGTCAGAGATCAAGTAAGGAGAATAATTCCTTCTATTGCCGATTATTGTTCGACAATAAGACAACTAATAATTTGTTTACAATCGTACAATATTACGATCGTTTTTTAGACGCGCATGTCATTTAGTCGTCACAAATTTCAAAATATACACTATCATGCATGTATAATTAAAATGTAGAATATAATTAGCATGCATCTTAACTCTCGGTCGGCGGATTATTAAAAATCTATATCTTTAACTGTTTTAAAGCTCATATATAATGAAAATAAATATCTCATGTATGTCTATCATAACATTGTAATAAAAATATCATTCTTATTTTAGAAATATTTTTCTCTCTACTTTAATTTTGATACACAATTAAAATTTCTTCTTATAAAAATTAAAAATATAATATTACAATTTATTCTTTTTATAAAAGTTTAAAAATACAAATTCACAATTTAATATAAAATTCTATTTTAGAAATATAGAATATAAATACACATAAAAGAAATTTTTTTATAATTTAAAATTGATTAAAATTCGTACATGCGTCCCGCCGTCCGAGAATTAAAAGCAACAGATTTATGTACATGCATTTATAAATCCATTGCTTCAAAATAAAAGTTCATCACTCACCGGCATCGATGCGCAACAGCGGAGTTGATATTGAAGCTACGTAGTCTGTAACATAAAAAAAATTCAAATTTAGCAGCGCTTAAAATAATTAATACTTTAAGAAATTATTATTGTACACATTGAATTTTATGTCCGAATTATAAATAAATGTATAAATATGAAATAATCTTATAAATAATTTCAATTTTTAAGTAAAAACTTTTATAGGAAAAGTTTTTATAAAAATTTTTCTCAATTTTTTCTTGTTTAAATCATTCAAATAAATGAATCAAGTTAATACGCGATTTAATAATTAATATATAATAATTAATAATAAGATATAATAATAATAATAAGATATAATAATTAATATAAATAATAATACTGACCATCAGGTTGTTCCGCTGGTGCAGGATGCCTCTCCTAGGCCTCCTCCTCCTCTCAGATTATCAGAGTTGCTGCGTCCATAATTTCGTCTGCAGCTCGATGCTTTTCCGAATCTTCTTTTCTTCCCTGTTGTTTCCTCATGGCACTTACACTCGCGAAAATACGTTAAATTAATATTTTAAGTACGTGGAACATTTTGCACAGCACTTGCGATCACGGAATAACACGAGATATATACGAAATTTTATTATATTTAATAGACCAATTCGAAAAGTAAGATTCGCTCGATGTTTACATGAGATTAAAATCACGCTACTTGTAATAGGAATGCTATCATTGTTGATATATATATATATATATATATATATATATATATATTATATACGCACAATAATACGAATCATAAGATCAAAAGATTAAAATAAATAAAAGTTTGTGATATAGTAATGTTAGCAATGTTATTATAAGTTAATTAATCATTAAGTGTAGCAATTAGCGAATTATGTTTCGATATTAATCGCAATCGCGTTATGAAAGAGAATTCGATAATATACGAAACGTTTCGTATCACTATTTCGCTGCCCGAGTGTCGTCGTGCGAATGATAACAAGGCCGAAGCACGTAAACAATAGCGCGGTATACGCCGAGGCCGAATATGTTATTGATGACGTCATCACTGAAATATTTCAGGTACTTTGACACGCATACGCGGAATATTACATTATAGAAATATTTTAATATCAATTAAATATTTATTAAATAATTGATATTATCGGGGAGCCTTTTATTATGCTTGTTATTCGATTTTACAATTTGATTGTTTTATTGTGCGTTTTGAATTCGAATTACATATAGATCGTCGACAAGTTAATAAGATATTATGAATGAAATATATTTGACTCTAAGTATCGTTAGAAATATAATTATTGTCTATAAGAAATGCAAGAAAATTATAATTTATAATTTTGATTCCTATTTGATTATATTTATTTCGATTCTTACTTTAACATATTAATAGATAAATTACGAAATAAGCATTTTTTCGATAAAAATCTATAGTCGCGATATATATATATATAAATATAATTATTAAAAAATCAAATAATTATTAATTATATAACTTATATAATATATATTTAGTATATTATTTCGCAATACTTGTCGTGATCACGTTTCTAGAAAAGTTCGACAGAGCATTTTGCTCCACTATCTTACTATTCGAAGGTTGCGTGAATAATAACAGAATTAAGCAGTGATGTCAGAATGCCCAAGCCTCAAGTTACACGCAACCATAAATGGAGGGGGTAACGGATACATGAATCACTCATATGATCGTTACCCCCTCCACTTGCGGTTACGTGCTGCTAGCGTGGGCATTTTAGCATCACTGGAATTGAGGAAGAGAGATGCTGGATTGACGGCAGCGATAAGGCCACGACATGTAAACAATAATGTTATAATACGAATAACAAAGATGGTACAACAATAATATCTATATAAGACGACACATAAAATATTTAGCACTCCATTAAATAAACGCAAATATTTTATATGTTTCTTAAATTATAAATTAATTATCAATACATATACTGTTTTTTTTTATTTTTAATTCTGTAATTTGTTTATTATTGCACATTCTTAATCCAACAGTAATTAGCAAATTACATCTAAATCGGCGAAAAATTTAAAAATTGCAAAAATATATTTATTTATATATTAATTATATTTCTTAATTATATTTAAAAAAGTAATTATTGTCTGTGGTTATTAATATAATAGATATGATATGATAATAATTTATCATTTATAATTTTCACATTTTTTGTTTTCTCTTTTAAAAGAATATTATCAAATATAAGTATATTTGGTTGCAGTATATATTGTACTTTTTAAGTATATAATCAATATTTATTTAATCAATATTAAGGATATTTTATAATATAATTATTAAATTTTTTTTTTGCTAAAATGATAAAAAATGAGAACATAAAAATCATCAATTGTGTAGAGAATATCTCTAATGATATTCTCGTATTATATTTATGACCTATTAAATAAATTTTATCAACAAAATTTTAATTTTTTCATTTGTTATTAGTAAGATAATATTTGTTATTAATAAAATAAAATTCTTTATATTTATTGAGTAATAAAATAAAAATCTTAAACAGTTATTTTTGTGCATTTCATTATAAATTAATAATAGAATTAATTATTAATTGTAAATTTAATTATTTAATTGTAAATTATTGATTAATTAAAAATAATTGTTAACTCAAATTCATCTTTTTCCTGTAAATTACGTAGTAATGACAATGGTAAAGATGAATGATGTGTAATTAATATATAATAATATCAAATAATATATATTTTAATAACTAATTATACTTAATAGATAGAAAGAGAGATCACAAAACTTATTTATATTAGACATTTATTTAATATATACAAACATTTTGCGTTACAACACTTGTATTATTGACATTTCGTGTACGTAGCATGGAACACAACCCGAAATTAGAGTTTTACCTACTGAAAACATTCATAGATATTGGCTTCGTAGTTTATATTGACATTTTTATGTTTATAGAGGATGCATCGCTTTCAGATCACCTAAAAGCGGATCATGACATCTTTCGTTCTTCTCTCTATCCGAATCCGAATACTCTGACATCCACAAAAAAGGAGTACATTGATTTCAAGCATATTGATATCGGAGATATCGTGAAAAATAGTCTCTGAAACAATGATGGGAAATGTTTATTTCTTGTAATTTAATTATGCTAATCACGGAAATTTCGTTGTAAGAAGAAAAAAGTTAATTATGTGCGACAATATAAAGGGTAACCCATTTGCTGGGTTGTTTTCCACGGATAATGATGCTGTCTCATTCTCTTCACAGCATCAGACAATTGCTAATGAAAATGGTAATACTAATTATACGAATGAATTGTTGGACACTATTAATAATAAGTCTGAAAATGAGACAGAATCCACAATTTTTGACGACAAAGTCAATCAATTCATGGCACATGTATTTGGTTTGACGTTATGTCAAAATAGCAATAGTCATGCACATGGATCTCTGGTGTTCATCGACACTGATTCAATTGAACATGCAGTCTTCGAGCGCTTGATGCTGTCAGATCCTAAATCTGCAGTACGAGATATTGTACAAGGTGCCGATAGTCATATTCTAGAGACACAAGTTATAACTTATCTCTATGAATGTTATTGTCGATTAAAACATTATCAGGTTAACAGTGATTTGGAACAGATTATGAGAAATGCTTGTCAAATTATTCTGAGAAATGTCAATACAGCTTTACAGGAACCAGACTTGTTCCAATATCAGGAGGTATATTTTCTTAACATATATATGTACATAATTCTGTAAGAAAATCTTTAGAAAATAATTCTTGTCAAAGTAAAATATATATCAGTAGAGTATATATTATAAAATTATATATTTATTATTTATCTAGGTTCACAGTCAGTTTGTTGCTTTATTTACGGATGATATTACATCAAAGTCAGAGTTACCTTTATTTGTTAATGGTATAATAGAAGAATTAATAACGACAAACAGAGAAAGTGATATAGAAGATATAATTATAAAGTCATTTGCTCCTGTGCTTGACATTGTTCATAAAGAGGCAGCTCAAAGTAATTTATTTACTTTTCGTCAACAGTGGTTTGTTTTACTGCATATATTTTCCACTATTGAATCATTGGCAAAGTTAATAATTTGTCATAGCAAACCAAAAAATAATCAAGGTTGCGCATATTCAGATACATTATTAGGTGCACTCTTCAACATAAGCTGCTTACCAAAAACAACTAAAGATCCGTATGATCTGTTTGATAAACCTTTACAGCAAGTACGATTTTTTTTTTAGTAGTGCAATAGTATTTTAAATTACAGAATTTTTACTTATAAATTGTTAAAATATTACAGTCAAATACAGTCATGGAAGGTAACATATGGATAGCTATGAATAGCCTAAATGAACAGTTACACAAAATTTTTCATTCCTTACTGAAGTGCTCGACGGAAGTTCGTCATTTGACTCTGCAATGGCTGAGTAATTGCCTTCATATGAATGTAAATAGAGGAAAACTTTGGAATTCTCACATGGAAGTAGGATTACTTGGAGTATTGTGTGTATCAGATGGTTTCATGCTGAATGTGGGCAATGTATTGCTGCGTCTTTGTCAACCATTTTGTGTCAAATCTAATGATACCAAAATACCAAAAATAGATCCTACATATTGTAGTGCTGAGGTTGGTTTCTTGAGAGCTTAAGAAAAATTACATAGTGGTATTCATGTGCATTGATATCTCAATTATCTCGAAATAGCATGAAAAAATTGATACTATAATTTTGAATTTAAGTTTGAGAATGAAATGGGAATAATTTTGCTAATATGTTCAGAATTTCAAACTTCTTGTTAAAAAATTCCAATGTATAATGAATGGTGCTATAGATATTAGTTTAAATGTTAAATCTATATTTAATATATAATATTTAGTGTATATATATATATATATATATATATATATATATTTATTTATTTATTTATTTATTTAAGTGAAAAAATAAATATTTAATTAGTGTTGCACTATGTATGTTTACATTCATAGGCAAAGAATGAAGCTGAGAGTTTACAATGTGGTATACATATGAAGGATTTAAGTTCAGAAACATGTTTGATACCAACTCCAGAAGGAGAGAGTCGACCTATAGCGAATTCATTTGGATTTACAACAGAATGTTTTTTCCTTACACATCGTGCACTAGATCTTGGTTATAGAGTTATACTCGATAAATTTTTAAGGTATGAAGAAAAAATCAATCCTGTAATTTTTTTAAATAGTTTAATAATATTGCAAAATATTTCGTCATTTTTAATTCTGTAGGATAAATCAAGATTTAGCTAGGATACAAAGAGCTTACAATGATGCTCGAGTTGGTGGTAGTTCAGAGGTGCTAGAGCTCATAACGCAACGAATGGAAACTGAGATGACAAAGTATGTATAAACACATTAATACATATACATTTTAATACATAAATATCAATACATTTTTTTCTTTTATATATTATCATATGTTATAGATACTTATCTCTTAAAACGAGCCTTCTAGTGCCAGAAATGTTGGAACACCTAGCAAAATTTCATGCAATGACAGCATTTTGGTTGATACAAGTAAACTTAAATATCATAACCGAAGGAGAGAACATACAAAGCTTTGCGCCAAAACAATTTATACCTGTTACATTCCCATTACCAGAAACTGTTCCAATTACACTAAGGTATTAAATATATGCTAAAGTATATAAATATAATAAAAAACAAGTGAAATAAACAAAATAAGCACATTTCCACAGGTGCATTCCAGAGTTTGTAATAGAGAACACTATTGGATTTTTATGTTTTTTACGTCGCTTTAGTCCGAATACATTTGAGGAACAGGGTTCGAGTTTTTTAAATCCGATTTTGACAGAAGTAGGTAAAGATAGAATAAGTTGTACATCAGCTTCGTGCGATTATTAAGTTTATGCATCGATTGCTTTAGATTATAGTTCTGATGGAATCTCAACATCGGCTGTATAATCCACATTTACGCGCTCGTTTAGCCGAAAGTCTGGAGGCACTTTTACCGACTACAGATGAGAGCGTTGTTCCAGCAATACCCAACTTAGGAACTTTCCATAGAGAACAGTTGTTTCTCTTTCATCCACACAGACAACAAGTGAGCACAATGTTTATATCTACATAGTGTTTATTAACAAGAGATGCATATGCACCTAATTTCTCTCTCTCTCTCTCATGTGTTGTTGATTTGCAAATAGATAATTCCTAATTTGCTGCAAGTGTTTGTAAGCATCGAAATGACAGGACAAAGTGTACAATTTGAGCAGAAATTCAATTATCGTCGTCCGATGTATATTGTGATGGATTACTTATGGAAACTTGATGAGCATCGCAATATTTTTATGTAAGTAAAATTATGATATTTAATCATTATTTTTATTATATATTCATAGAATTTGGCACAAGAGAGATAAAACATTTTATTTAATTATAATACGCCAGTATTTTAGCTAAAGAGGCGGAAAACAACATGGAAGCAGTTCAGCCACCACTATTCTTACGTTTCATTAATCTATTAATGAATGATGCTGTATTTCTCTTGGATGAGGCTTTATCAAATATGGCACAATTAAAACAAATGATCCAAGCTAGGTATTTCTAACATTATATAATATAAGATTTCATTCTGTTGTATATTATTTTTTAAAAATCTTTTTTAAATTATAAAATGCTTTATAAAATATTTTCATTTAAATATGTATTGCTTTGTTTTTTTATAAATACAAGGGAAAGCGGAGAATGGAATAAACTACCGCCAAATGAACGCGAACAGCAAGCAGGCTATCTTCAACATATTGGTATGATTGCACGTTTTGATAATATTCTGGGCAGAAAAACTATACAAACAATAAAAATGTTGACCACTGAAATAAAATCAATTTTTTGTCACCCAACAATGGTGGATCGTATTGCTTCTATGCTTAATTATTTATTATTGCAATTGGTGGGGCCAAATAAAAAAAATCTTAAGGTAATTTTAAAACATTTACAAATAATAATAAATTATAAATGTCTTATAATTTATCGTAATTTTCATCTATGGAATCTAGGTGAACGATCAAAAAGAATATGCATTTAATCCTGCAAATTTGGTACTGAATATATGTGAGATCTATATTAATCTGAGCAAAAATGAAAGCTTTACATTAGCCGTGTCGCAAGACGGACGTTCTTACAGTCCAGAACTTTTTAAACTTGCTGATAATGTGCTTGGTAAGCATTTTTACATTTTTTTCTTAATTTTATCTACGATTTATTTATACTGATAAGAATGAACAAATAAAAATGTAAAAATATATTTAAAAAACATACGTACGTCATAGTTCGTATTGGTGGTGTGGGAATACTGGGGGATTTGGATCAATTTGCAAAGAGTGTGGAAAAAGCTGCAAATCAAAAGCGAGAGGAAGATGAAATATTGATTGGTATTCCCGATGAATTTCTGGATCCAATCATGTCAACTGTTATGACAGATCCTGTAATCTTACCATCATCAAAAATAACTATCGATCGTCAAACTATAGCAAGGTTAATATACGAAATATTATAATATTATCATCTAAAATATATTATATGTATCAATATATTTCAGACATTTATTGAGTGATCAGACTGATCCTTTTAATCGATCTCCTCTTACTATGGATATGATAAAATCAAATGTCGAACTTCAACAAAAAATACAAGAGTGGATTTCGCAAAAGAAACAAGAAAAGTTAAATGCTACGTAATTTATCGTCAATTATTATTACATTACAATAGAACAACATCGAATTATAAGCAATCTTTGAGATCAACATTGTAAGGCATCAAAACAATACATATCGAGGATAAAAATTGTTAAAGAAAATTTTCCAGTAATTAATTCTAAATGAAATATAAATTTAGATATGTATTTCATTGCGTTTTACATTGTTGCATTACGATTTTATTATTCGCTGATGTTCGATTTGTTAACAATAATAGACAAACAATTTTTGCATACAAATTTAACAATGTAATTATGTACAGGATTATAAACTAGTTTAAAATTATATTAATAGCAATTCATAATTCAAATAAAATGTTACACATATAAATAATACAACAAAATCGCTATATCAAACTAGTAATTGTTTATTATATTTTATTCAATTGTATAGAGAATAAAATATATTATTTATGAGTGACATTTTTCAAATCGTGTCAACTTTAATTTATATAGTTCAATACATACACAAATCATATTATGAGATTAAAAACAAGAAACTGAATACATTTTTTTCTAATGAAATATATCGAAATATAAATATATAATTAAAATATATATCTATGCATATATATGATATATGAATTATAACTATAAAGCTTTATCCAAAATTCATTTTTGGAAAAACATTATATAAAAACATTATATGGCTTTACTAAAACAAGGTAACAAAAAATGAGTTTTTGTTATCTTGTTTTAATGGGTCTGTTCATTTTAGCTGCACTGCTGCACTAGTGCAATTAGTTAGAGTGAAAGAAAGTATGTATGTCTTTTTCTAACTTATTGCACTAGTCCAGCAGTGCAGCTAAAACGAATAGACCTAATATTTTATCTAAAATGTACATATAATGCATATTTTTAAAATTCTAATGCAATATTTTTACGTGTATTTTTTCTACATCAATCATTTTATATAGTTTATATATATACAGACTATTCTATTTTTATAATTATAAGATTCTTCTAAGATCATCAAAGTTCATTACAAACCACTGAGAACGTGATTTTACACTTTCACGAATGACATTACCACCAAATCCTGTGGAAATATATAACTAAGTATTAAATGTATATACTTATTTGTGTGTAATTACTATCATTATTTCAACATGAAATATAAAACATTTCCTAGAAGACTTTCAAATAAAGTAGTTAAGAGATTCTTAAATAAACATTCTCTACATGCCTATAAATGCATCTGCTGGAGGTGACGCTTCTAAATCTGTTGAACCATCACCGATATGAACAATAGTTTTATATCCTCTTGTTTCTTTAAGATGTTGTATTACTTCTGCTTTGCCACCACTTCTAGATGTTGGCTGATTTTCATCGAATCCAGCAAACTCACCTAGGACATGCGATCATACATTTTATATATATATATAGTTTAAAAAAAAAAATTATAAATTTATTAATGCTTATATTCTCACCTGTAAAATAAAATTTCAATTTATTAGCATATATATTCTCAGGTTTTATATTTAATTTTCTAGCAACTGGCAAAATAAGACAGTGGAAACCACCTGAAATTAGATACACATCTTTTCCACGAGTTTGTAAATCTGACACAAGTTCTCTAAAAAGAATATCAATTCTTAATATAATATAATTAATATATAATTCTTAATATATTAAAAATTGATTTATAATATATTAAATTGATCCTTAATATATTAAATTAATATCTGTGTATATATTATGTTTAAAAAATAAGTATCTTACTTGATACCATTAGTTAATTTTATTTCATGTATATCTAAAAACTCTTTCACTTGAGTTAAACTTGGATTTATGATCTGCAATCGCATTAACAAGGATTGCTGGAAAGTCATGTCACCTTGCATGGCCTGTTTTGTTCTGAAAAATACATGTTTCAATATTTCGTATTAGATGAAAGATTTGGAATCTTTATATTACAAACAAATTAAATTACAAATTAATCTAGTTCAGTAGTAAGCTAGTAATGCTCCATTTAAAAAAACACATACAATTCACGAATTTGTTCTCCTTTTCCACAAAAATTTGCAAGTTCATCAATGCCTTCTTCTCTAGTGACAGTTGAATCAACATCAAATGTCACAGCGTCAGCAGCTTTCCATATGTTTATTATTTTGTTTGAATTCACCATCTGTAAAAAATATATGTTAAAATATTAATAAAAAAAAATCATAAGAATACTCATGAAAGTCAAAACGAAAAAAATAATAACAGACATGGAAGCTAGAAGCTATTTTGCATTCTTCTTTTATAATTTTTTTTAGAATAATAATTATAATTTAAAAAACACTAAAAATTAAAATATAAAGATACCAAATCACAAGTTTCATAGTACTGTATCAAAATGTTGCTATTGTTTTCTTGCGAACTATAATCAAATCATTGGCGAGTGTAATTTATATGTCATATATACATACAATGCAACTTACATTCACGCACACACCAACATTTAATTTATTACGTATTGTCACGTGTCATACTACGATAGTCTCGTGCAGACTTTCGATTGATCACGCGTACGCGTCAACTGTGACTCGTGAAATCCCGATAAATGTCGGTCATACCGAAATAGCAATAACCTATTATCACTTTTACGTCATTCGGAAAGCAAGAGATCAAGTGATTATGCCGATGCAATCAAGCTCCCTTCTATTCCTATTCGTTACTATCATTTTAGATAGAATGAAGTGTAAAGCTCCTATTCCTGCCAGTTTTTTTATTGCAATCATGTTAAATTGTCAATCACGTCAAAAATAAAAAATCCGAACTTTTATCAAAATTCACGGCTATTTATCAATCAATAAACTCCAAAATATCTCTTATCAATTTATATACTATTATATATATATATATATATATATATATATATATATATAAATGTGAAGAAATTAATTTATTTTAACGTAAAGAGAACAAGAAATTCACGTGGTCTTTGATGATAATTAAATATATATGCCTACAGCAAGCAAATAGAAGTCGAGCACGAGTTTGACAGAAAGAAAGACCTATATAATTATATAAACATAGTTACTTCAATTCTGAATGACGAGATACTATTAAGGCACAAATTCATGATACGCTTGACACTCATTTTCAACGTCAAAAGCCATCATGTGACCAAAAAGTGACGAATCGATATCTTCATTTTTAATCACGTGATGTCTTTTAAAAATGAGTACCGAGCGTCAGCATGAAAAGGCGCCTTTAAAGATGGCTGGCCTTGGGTAAATTTTTTAATTATCAAGAAAACTCAATAAATTCAGAGATAATAAAAGATTAATGGCATTACCAGGGGGTCGACTGTATATCACACAACTTGGTGAAAATTACAAAAGTGAGAAAATGTACTAGAATATTTATAATTTTATTAGTCAACCTCTAGTAAATTTCACTTTTGTAATTTTCACTTAATAATGTGATACACAATTGACTCCCAGCTATTTTGATTACATTGAAGATAATTAGATGAGGTATTTAAATTATGTGAATATTTTAGCTCGTCTATTATTTTATTATCAAAGATGTATAGATCTTTCATATTATTTTTTAGCCGTAAGGCAAAATAAACATTTTATTACTATTTTATTATCGACAATATAATTTTCTTATCAACAGTAGTGCGCAATCAGTTTTTTCCAATCACACTAAACTTGGCTATATTGATCTTTAATAATATCTTGTCAGTGACTATTTGTAAATGAACCAGGTATAATAACGCAATAAAGGAGATAATGATAATTAAAGAATTGTTAGAACTGTTCAGCTCAGTTATATCAAAAGTTAATCAATTTAATAAATTTTGAGATACATGAATTTGCGCAAAGAATTTTTAGCCTTTTAAAATATATAATCAATAATTAATTTATGAATTAAAATAAAGATTTGCTTTGTAGAATTAAGATTTTTATTTTCATGAATTTTTGTCGTTATACAGATATAAAAGCTATAAAAAAAATGAATTCGATATAAAATAATATTTATTTTTGAGATTAAATTTTATTAATAAATTTTGAAATGTATTAGATTTATTAACTTTTGATGTAGCTGATTGATCCATTCAGTTTCTTCTTAACGAATTATCTTTTGCAGATGTGCATATAATAAAATACAATAGTATATATAAAATGTATAAAAATAAAAATTCAAATTCAAATTGCATATAGAATAACATGATTATATCGTTGATAAACAGAATGTATCATTCATTAATTTCTTTTATTAATTCTTATACTCTATCTGTCAAAATTAATAAAAGATAAATGCGGTTACATATCTATTTAGCTTGTAGGATCGTTTAGAACTACGCTCTTGACTATATGTACTGTCGGAGCAAGTTATATAAACTACACTCTTGACCGCACTATCTTTTTTATAGCACGTGCATAATAAAAGTTATTATTCATCAAGATAAAAACATATTCTTATCTAATTTTAATATTTAAAAAATAATTTGGAACAATAATTGGCATAAATTTGCCAATTATAAAAAGAAATTAAAAAGAAATAATCTTAAATTAAAAAATTTGTTTTAATTTAAAAGATGATATTTATAATATGTAATAATATCTACTATTTGCTTTATTTTAAATATAATTGTCACAATTAATTTTTAAAAATTATTAATTGATTTATAATTATAGGATAAAATAAGACAAAAAATACGAAAGGACATTTCTATCTATTAAATCCGAATTTCGATAATTAATTGATCAATGATATTGCATTATTTTACTATATAGATAAAATTATTTTATTATTTGATACACACATACACACATACGCCTGAAAAAAGACTAGATTATGAACAACAGATTATATATTATAAAAATTTTGTTGTGTTATTTGAATTAAATAAAATTTAATTGATTTAATTCTAAATATGAACTGTAATGTTTAGAGAATATGTTTGTGGAAATTATATATAAATAAATATATATTTTCATCTGATTAGTTTAATATTCAATACGAAGGTGAATTAATTGTAGTAAGAAAGTGAAAGCGGCCAGATTTTTATTTAAGAATTGTTAATTGTAAACTGCAAGATATAGGACGCGATCGCGAAGAATTACCTTGTCGATACTGTAAAATCGGCAAGCACGACGGATCACAACGACAAACCAACTAGAGCTAACTGCATGTAGCATCGTGCGAAACTAGAATTTATGGTCGTGGAGAAGAGGGCGGTGGAAGTCTCGTGGTGGATTTATTACTCGGTCGACTGCAATTGCAATAGTCATCGCGTAATCATGCATTCTTACCGGCTGCAACCGAACATATTCCCAGATAATCAAATATGATTAATCATATTGAACAAATTTGCGCTAATGCATCATATATATTTGCCATATGTTTATTATATGTTTACGAACATCGAAATAGGAGGCGTTAAGGCTGAATGCTACAACACGAGTATGTTTATACAAGTAATCAGTTGACGAAATTTCGAAAGCAAATGATCAGTGATACTGATATATTGTTATCAGCAACATGACAACTACTAACGGTTTATCATTTCGTTTAGAGCATTATGCCGATAACATAAATATAATGATTCGCATTTCCTATTGCATACATTTCTCAAGAAACATTTCTAATGAAATGTTTTAATCATAGTTTTAATCATTGTTTAATGTCAACAAAATTGAAGATATGAAATTGTTTTACAATTATGATAAGGAAACAGTCTACAGCTTTCGAGATTTAATGTCCGAAGTTCGTTCACTCTCCGCTATGCAACGCATTATATGCTATCTATCTTGGTTTTTGATAGCGGCAGTGGCAATGGCAGTGATTAAAAATTTAATTTTTAAAAATATTTGCTATTATATTGCAATAATTCCTCTTTTTCTTGTTGTTTACATATATATTTAATAAATATTAAAAATATATATATAATAATTATATTATTATATATATTGATATATATATATATATTATTTAACAAAAAATATATATAATAACTATATATAATCTATTTCATAATATATATTTTTTCAGATTATATTATATTACACAGTAGAAGGAACTAAATAACGCAACCTTGATATATATAAATTAATAATATAAAAAATTATTAAAATCACAATGGAAATTAAGTATGTTACATTTTTTGCTAGTGAGCAATATTAGATGTAGTTATATTAGACGTAAAATCACAAGAAAACGTAAACGGTCAAGTATGTTTAATAATTATCTTTTTCGTTAAAAGGCGATCAATCTACTAGAAGTAAAATTTGAACATGAATAAAATATTCAACACCAGTATATTTGATGATTTTTTGAATTGATAAATTTGGAAATTAATATATGCAATTATAAACTAAATTTTTAATCTGAAAAAACGCGCATCAAATGTACTATTGCTGAATATCCTGCTCATGTCCAAATATAACACGACTTACTGCTCATCAGCGAGAAAGATAAGCCTGACCAATTTTGTAATTTTACATCTGATATGACTTGTTGCCCATTAGCAAAAAATAATTTTCAACAAATGTAAGTTTTCTTTTAGTAATTCTTTGATTTTAGCAATTCTTCATTAACTTATTAATTTATATATACCATTAATTTAGGTATATTTTTTAATTATATTTTTGTAAAGAACTGTTATTTGAAGAACTTCTATTCTTAAAGAATTATTATTAGTTAAAGGAAAAGATATACTTGATGAGATTTTCTTATCTTTGATGTATTCTTTAAGCGGTATTTTTATTAAATAATAAATTGAATAATACTTGATATACATACTTTTGTATATATACATTGATTAGTAAATTGAATAATAATTCATGTTATAACAAATTGCACAGTTATACTTAAGAAATAATATACATACAATATTGTGATATACATACAATATTACAGCTGCCATGTTTGCATAAGAACAGAGTCGTGAATCAATTCTATTCATGAATTTTATTCATTATTCTGCGATAAATTTAGTAAATATTTTAATGAAAAGATAATACTATAAGATATCTCAACACTATAAAATATTTTACACTATCAAACACTATACATAGCTCACATTTTATATGTTATATGTCAAAATAAATTACAAAATATCGTAAATTATATATTGATTTTTAATGATTCTATCTTAACACTTTCATATATAGAATAATAGATAAAAATAGATTTATATGTAAGAAAAATTGATTTAATTAAATGGTTTTATTAAATAGTTTTATGAAAAGATATGATCTCTTGAATTCTTGAAAGCTGAAACAAGACTGCGAAATGTACTTTGCAAAATTATGTAATAAACATTTTTCTATAAGACATATCTTTTATCAGAATTTATCAAAAATGGCAAAATTTGATGATTCATCCTGTACATAAATGAAAGCATCAAGTATGCAAAGATATACAATAAATATATAACATATAAATATGCAATAATTTAACAAGAAGCATTTGCACATCATAATTTTTTATAACGAAAATTATAATAATCGTATATACTTGTTATAATTTCTTTCTTTTAATAAATAATTAGAAAATATCTGTAAATACATACTTTTTTCTTTCAAAATTCTCATTATTATTTTAATACAAAACACAAGTGCTTTTAAGTACTTTGTATATTTTACGATAATTTCATTGAGATCAGAAATTTGTTTCTTTGTAACTAAACTTCTTTTGCACTTTTTATTTTTCCATACAAGACAAAATAATCATTTCTCGTTTTAAAAGATGTACAGATGTTTCATGGAAAAAAGGATTATGATTCATTTTTTTTTCTT